GGGTCCCTGCCCAGTGCACTCCACGCCGGAGCCACGGTCAAAGCGGGAGCAAAATTGAGAGCTGAAGGACCAACTTGCAACCACGTCCTGGCTCTCAGGTCAAACCTCCACCCGATGAGGCAGGATTCTCAGGGCCGTTTTCCCTTTCCCCTCTGCCCAGGGGACGAGGGACCCTCCGCTGGATTTCGACGATCCCGTTTACGGGCGGAGGACGAGTGCCGCAAAGCGAGCCGCGGCTGCGGCAGCGCAGGAGGGCCCCGAGAATATTTACGAGCAGCTTTCCGAAGACCGACTCTAAGCCACCCACGCAGGAAGGTCCAAGACAAGACCCAGCTCCCGGGCAGAAGGAACCTCTCGGGCTCCTTCAGCGCCGAAGGAAACCCTCGGACCTGGGAGGAGAGGCTGCAGTTGGCCCCTCCGCAGACGACCAGCGCCCCAGCCATACCAGCAACGCCAGTCCATTCCGTACCGGGATTCCCACGCCCTTCCCGAGGCAGCAGCCCGCTTCCCAAGCCCTGCGAGACAGTTGAGAGGGGACGGGACTTCATTTATCTTTGAACACATTGAGAAAGAGATTTCTATTAATAGAACGAGGGCGGAAAAAGGCTATTACAGTAAAAACAGAGACAGCTTTCGGGCACAGCCAGCGCATCCAGAGTCAGATATTAAATTGGCTGTGAGCCGGAGTGTCACCGCCGGCCAGCAGGCAGGGTCACACCGAAGAATCACGACCCCAGTGGTGACACCTCCAAGCCCTGCTTGTCACCTCAGTCACAAAACACGGGGTAGCACCAAATCGGAGGACCAAATGGGGCTGCTGACACCGAGCCTGGCGGCGTTCCGTCGGCAACGGCGCTGAGCCAACAGCATTCTCGCAGCAGACAGCCCCCAGCCTTAAACGGAGCAGAAAGTGCGCGAGGACAGCCAAAATCCCAGCGCTCAGAGGTGTCGGAGCGTGCAGACGGGGAGGGAAAAGGAGGGCTGTGGGGCTGTTGTTTTCTTTTACCTCTCAGAGGAAACAAAAAAAAAAAAAAAAAAAAGCCACTTTCGCTTTTCACAAGTCCACATTTCGTTGCTCTTAAATGGCTAAAAGCAGAGCGCGATTCCCGTCCTCCAAACTCCCCTCTAGTGCTAAAAATGAGCCATTACACACCAAAATGGCAAAAGAAAAGGGGAAGCCGTGCGCTTCAGCCCCTCAGACTCCGCCGCCCCGCCAAGGCCGCTGCAGAGGAGTTTGGGAGCACGCGGTGTGCCGCTGCAGCGAAGCCCTGCAGCACCGGCACCGCCGGGAGCTGCCGCGCTGTGCTCCAAGCGCGAACGCCGAGGGCTCAGCGTTTTAAATGGCTAAATCCACAGCAGTGAGCAAAAACCCAGTGCCGGGGTTCGCACCCCGGATGGGCCGCGCTTAGCAAACTCCCTCAGCCAAGCGTTTCGTCACCGGCTGCGCAACAGCATCCGCTCCGTGAATAAAGCGAAGTAGCCGAGGCCGAAAGGAGGGCTGTTGCGGAGGTGCTTCGGCCTCAGCGGTGGGGAGAAGGAAAAGCAACGCCGCGAGGAAGGAGTCGAGCACCTCGCGACGGAAACAGGTGCGGTTCGGTTCATTTAAAAGTTTATTCCTTTTATCAAATCTCTTTTTCAGAGGATTTCACTGTACATATAAGATATGAATAAATTACTCAGCAGTAACTTTATTCTTGTCATTCAAATACTCAAAACGGGCTCTGCAAAGTACTAAAACATCCAGGGAACTAAACTAGAAATCAGCTTATTTTAAAATATTCTAAGAAAAAGACTTCATTCATGGGGGTTTGCTTGTTTTTAACCAGGTTAACATGGGAGAAAAACCACCTCTTGGGAGTTTTTCTCAATGGAATAACAAATATTAGCTGTTTTAGCTGCGGTTACAACAAAATATAACCCTTAGCGGTGGGAATGTAAGTTAAATAACCAGCCCAGCTCTCTGTTCCCTGCGGCATCACACGCCTTGGTGAACAACAAACTTAAGTGAGGCCACAGAGATTTGGCTAAAGATAGGTGGATCTGGCCAGCAAAAGGCTGCACATGATTTGCAGTCGTATCGCCCAGATCTAATCCCTTCAATAAAAGAAAGATTTCCTTTTAAAAAGTTAAGGCCGGACACGGTCTCCTTTTCCCAGCCAGGAGGGTAAAGGTAACACTTAATTGAAACAGAATTGATACGAACAAGCTGGAAAACAGACCCCCCCCAAAAAAAAAAAAAAAATCATAAATGTACAGTTGGCAGCTTTCATCTGCGTCTGCTCAGAGGAAATACTGCTGCTTCACTGCCAGCTGCACCGCACCGCGCGACGCTGGGAATACTCGGTTCAACAAGTCTGGCGATCAGCCTGGGACAGCACTGTAGGTCTTGGGTCAGGGGGAGGAGGAGGAGGAAAGAGGTGGGAGGGGGAAAAGGAAGAAAAACGTACATACACACATCGATCGCGGTTATCCAAAAGCCCTCAGCAGCGCCTCGTGTCGGGCAATAGATCCTCACTGCCTTTTTTTTTGTTTGTTTGTTTGTGCGTTCCACACTCAGGGCGTTTTCACCTCTGTTGCAAGCTCTGACCTGTAAAGGAGTTTCCCCTCAGCACAGTGTGAGACATAAAGGCTGGCGGAGCTGAGAACAAAAACACTAACTTAGCCACACTTAGAAAAAGAAAAGAAGAAAAAAAAAAAAAGAAAAAGATATCGAAGTCATTCACATGAGAGGAGCACTGGATTTACTCAGCCATGAGTAAGCAGCCATGAGGACGTCTCAAATAAAAGGATTAAAACCCAAAAAAAGCCAGGCTTGCTCTTGAAACTCACTGTCTTTTCGAAAGAAAAATTACACTCTCACCGCACAGCGAGTCCAAGCAAGGAGCAAAGTGGGAATGGGACGTTTATTGAGACTCTGCCTAAGGTTCCAGCGGCGAGGCTACGTCGAAAGAGGAGTAGCCCCCGTCCCCGCAGGACGGAAGCTCCGAGCCCTGCACCAGGCTCCTTTCCTGCGGCTGCCTCGGGACTGTCCTCACTCGTCCAACACAGACTTGATTCGAACATTCCACATGATCATTTATAAGGAGGGAGGGGAAAGATTACAGGTGGAGTTTCAGGACCGGCTTGCATTAAACCTTTCTCCTGACGGGCAGGGGAGTGCGGTATCCTCCCACCCTCCGAGCAGACCACGTTCTACACGGGGCCTGGGTGATCTCCAGAAGGCCAGGAGAAGTCTGACACAGTAGGTCACCTGGGACAGCAGCCAAAAAGCGGGACAGAGGTTTTAGAATCCGTATTTGGCTTGAGTCTGACGTCGGCTGAGCTTGTTTTCAGACCATGTGTTTTTCAGTTCCAGTTCTCTCTCCTTCGCCTGCAGAAATTGAGAGGATTAACATCAGCACGGCTGCTCGCTGACTCAGCAGTATTTCACCCTCCTCTGCACCCCTGCCGACGGGGATTACAGAGCGCTCGAACGAGCAGCCTCCTTACAGGAGTTAGCACAATTATCTTGACAGAGGCCTGAATTAATTGGGATGCACAGACATTTCATTCGTGCTGAAACGCAGCTTCTCTTGTGGGACAGTCTCAGCAGCCGTTTACCAACCACACGGCAGCGGTGCGGAATTAAGACAGGAAGCAGAGAGTCTCGTAACACACACTGCCACGCACACGCTGGAGCTGGGCGGGAGGGGAAGAGGGAAACAAAGCAAAAAGCAAGCTAGAAGCTCAGTGCCATGACACCCTTGGGGCCACGGCGCCGTTTGGGCCGGCAGTGGCCAGGATACTCCTGCAGCACGGCCACCTCCGTCCCCATCAGAGCTGCTGCAGGGCTCATAGAATCACAGGATGGTTTAAGTGGGAAGGGAAATTAAAGATCATCTCATTCCAACCCCCTGCCCCGAGCAGGGCCACCTCCCCCCAGCCCAGGTTGCTCCAAGCCCCGTCCAACCTGGCCTTGAACACCTCCAGGGATGGGGCAGCCACAGCTTCTCGGGGCAACCGGCGCCAGGGGCTCACCACCCACACAGGCAACAATTTCTTCACAATATCTATTCTAAATCTACGCTTTTCGAGTTTGAAGCCATTACTCCTCGTCCTATCGCTACATGCCCTTGCAAAAAGTCCCCCACCCGGGGCTCGGGGCGCTCTCACTCAGGGACAGCCCCTGGTCCTCAGCCGCTGAAGGAGCAGCTCCACCAGCTCTGCCCAGTGCTGCCGAGCACCAAACCTTGTAATTCCGCCCAGATCGGTTTCCACGCTAGAGGGAGGCTACTCACCTGATGAATCAGGTAGGTGATCTGGTGTTTCCTCCTTTGCTGTCCCGTGGGCTGATCTCCTTTTTTCTAGAAAGCAAAAGCAGGTGAACAGTTAAGCCTGGAAAGATACTGACCCAGAGAGCGAAACAAGACAAGAGCTCGCACAAAGCCATTTCGAGAAGCGTTTGTTTCATATTAAACAGCTCTGGGCAGATTCCTTAGGCTGAAGCAGTTCCTGGCTGGTCTTTACCACCTGTACGCTGGGACTGTGTTTTGAGATGCTCTACTGGTCTCTCATATGTAATTATTTACACAACACAAGGGTCCTTGTCGCCCCACCCTGGTGACCACACAGCACCTAGTACAGCTCCAGCTGTGGACAAAACAGGAACCGAACAGAGGTCTGCAAAATCCCGGCCGGCACTCCTCCCTTCCTGCCCGTACCTTGCTGAAGGATTTCATGGTCTTCTCCTCGGTTAAGGATTTGGTGAGCCACTGCTGGGCTCCACTCAGCTGATCGTCCCCTTTGATATCCACAAAGTTGATCTCTTCCCTCCCTCGATTCCGCTTGCCTTGCAGACGCTTGAACTGAAAGAAGAACAGAAAGTAGCGGGATTACACACGCACGTCACGCACCAACGCTGACCTGAAACAAGTAAAGGTAGACGGGGTCTGAGCTGTAGCTCCCCGAGCACAGGAAAGACAGCACCAACAAACAATTTTCCAACCAGGATTTTTTTTTTCTTTAGGAGAGTTCTGCTTTGCTGCAGATCATAATATCTTAAACTACTTAGCAGGAAGGTTATAATCTCATTTTCTTATGCAGTTAAACAGCATTTTGCCTTCAGCCTTGCTCAGGAGAAGACCCTCAGACTCCCGAGTCTCTCATTTTAAGTGGTAGGGAGGCGCCTGAAGCCTTGCTGCTAACACATCCACCTCCTGTAACACAAATCCGCCTCCAAAGAGAAGCGGTCCCTCGAAGAAGCGAGTACCAGACAGGCTACCGTCTTCTGCAGCACTGAGCGGCTCAGCTAACGAGCCTGGCAGTTTCCAGATTAGACCAGCAACGGGAAAGCAGGTTTTTTAACAGGTTTTTAAATATTTTGAATAAGCAGGGAGTTCACCACTGTGCTAGGGGATGTACTGTGAAGGTATCTGAACCGTAGCTCATCTGCACCTCAGCAAGCACCGTCTTTGCTCCACATCCCTTCGTCTCTCCTGGATACACCTCACGAGGGTGGAAATAACAAACATCACCTACTTCTAAAGCAAGGAAAGCCGTCCGGAGCAGTAGCCCAACAGACTGCTGGAAGGACAGCGCAGTGTCCACAACACAGTGCTCGACCCCACGGAACAACAACCCGGTCCGGCCCAGCATGAAGCACAGGGTGTGCTGGTGGGACAGGACTGTGGCTGCCAACCGGGTCCTGTGTTCTACCAGAGCTTAAACCCAAACTCTGCAGCAGGATAGACTGTAAAGTGCCGACCGCTTCGTCATCTATGAAGGAGGAGTCGGTGCTCAGCTCCTGCGGCGGTGCCTGGGCTGGTTCCACCTCCTGGTAGTATCCACCGCTGTAGTAATCCTGTCAGCAGAAGGAAAACCAGTTTGTCACAAGAATGAAACAAGATCGATCCCGGAACAACCGTACACAGACGTCCCCGAGACAGAGCACCGAATCGTGTACCTCACCCCATGAGCTGCTGCTTTTTCACCTAGAGGGAGTTCACTCAGGCTCTGGGGAGCACAGTACATTACACGGGTACCTCATTAATCACATCTCATTGCTCCAGCACTACTGAAGAGCACACGGCATTTCTTCAGAGGTACTCAACAACAAATACTTTGCTGAATTACTAGAAACAACCTGGCTTCAGACACCAGCTCTGGCGAGCCCCGATTCTGCACCCTGACAACAACAGTGGCAGTTACACCGGGGCATTTTAAAACGAGTGCAGCTATTAAACATTTATCCAGCAAAGAGCATCTACGGCTCTTGTGCCAGAGGAATCCTGTTGTGCTAAGCGCTGTGGATCTCTGGTGCTTGTCCCAGCTAGCTCAAATGGGTTAGATTCTGAAAACAAGGAAAAATTTCTTTACTTTGAGGGTGGCGGAGCACTGGCACAGGCTGCCCAGAGAGGCGGTGGAGTCTCCTTCTCCGGAGAGATTCAAACCCCGCCTGGACGCCGTCCTGTGCGACTGCTCTGGGTGACCCCGCTCCGGCGGGGGGCGGAGGAGAGGAGCTCCAGAGGGCCCTGCTGACCCCCGCCGGTCTGGGATTCTGTGATTCCCACAAGCCGCAGCCTGCTCCAGTAACTAATTCAGAGCCACTGGTCCTAGAAACCTTTTCAGAGCAGCACCATCAAGCTTCACCTCCCATTCAACAGACCCACCTGATAATATGCACCCGCCACGCCGGCCTCGCTGTAGGCAGGGAACTGGCTGTACGGCTGGCTGCCGTAGTCTTCTCCGGGTTTGGGCGCCCAGCTGTGCTGAGCACCGCTAGAGCCCGCACCCGTCTTGAACTCCAGAGGGGCATTAGCAGCAGCGTCCTGGAACTGGGGCTCTGTCTCTGTCCCGGGCGGTGGGTCCTCCGACCCCACCGTGCCAGAGTACATGTAGGTCTCGGCACCCACGACGTTGGGCTCGCTCCTGTCAGACAAGGAGAAGTAGTTCTCTGGCTCGACCTCTTCATCGCTGTCGTCCTCTTCCTGCGTGATCTGCTTGGTTACCTGCAGGGCAGCGCTCTTCGCCGCAGCTTTGATGGCAGATGGAGAAGGAGTTGTGGGCACCGCTGGCTTGGACAGAGGTTTTGTTTTGGACGAAGAGGTCGGGGCCTTAGCGGGCTTTGCGTCGGAGGCATTTTCTCCCGCTTTCCTCGAGAAAGCGTAGGGCAAAAGTAACCGATTGGTCTCTTTCACTGTCAAATTTTTGGGTTGAGGAAGCAAAGCAGACAAGCCAGAGCCCTCGCCGCGTCCCTGGTGAGATTCATGCAGGGCAAATGGTTCAGAGAAATAAGAGAAATGAGTGAGACTATTTAGTTTTCTTGACTCCCTGCCAATTATCTCCTCCAATTCTAACAGCATTAATGGGTTTCCCATTGCTCAGCACAATCGTTAGCTACTTCGAACGTGCTGCAGGGCTTTCTTGCACAAAAGGCCAGCAGGACTTTTAAGGGAAACGTGGTACTTGCAAATATCTGCCACCTTCCCAAATTAATGCCTATTTTCCTGAGATTTAAATTTATGAAATTACCCCCAAAAGGGGATTTCAGGAATTTTATACACCAAAAGCCATGTGCTAATCAGAGTGGCTGATTTACACTAGTGGAAGATCTGTCACAGTCAAATGCTTCTTTCCTGTGCAAATTGTTTAATTGAAGCTCCTAGGTATTTACCTGAAGAGTATTTTTCTTCTTTGCTGGTTCATCTTCCTCTGAATCTGACTGAGAAAGAAAAACAGAGCTTAGCACAACCTGAGATATTAAAATAAAAGAAAAAAGCCCACCCACTATGCAATTTATTAATTTTCAGTTCGAACCAGCCAAAGAATCACAGTAATGTGGATCTGGATTCATAATCTGCCAAGAGTGGAGCTAAAAAACAACAGCGGGATGTGGTCAAGCTGTTTTTCACAGTCTTGCTGATGCATCTATGTCAGGGCAAAGAGAGATAAAAGCCTGCCCTGCTTACTACTACGAGAGATAAATAAACTATCCGCAGTGAAAGCAGAACCACAGTACCAGCCACTATATTTATAGCTGGGTCTGCCATGGTCTGGGCAGAGGCAGAAAAATAAGCGACATTCTGCTGTAAAACCTGAAGCCTTACAAACAAGACATCATCACCTCTTAAAAAAAAAATTAAAAAAAAAAAAATCACATAAGAGCAACTTAACTGCACCCAAACTTCAACTTGAGCCCATTTATGCAACTTATGGAACAAAAAAAAACCCCAAACCAAACAAACAAAAAAGGATTCACTGACCCAAACTTCCAAATAATTCCAAATTTTCAAGGAGGCTTTTCAATGCTGCTCTAAAGCAGAGTGGGTGGGCAGAGAAACTCAGATTCTACATATTTGGCTACTGCCAGAAATTAGCGTTTAGGGAGCCAACAGCTCCAACATTTTTTTTTTTTAATAAATCACAGAAAAATAAGCCTAAAGCAAGGCAGAGACAACAAACTGCAGGGCATAGGGTCAGCGCTCTCTTTCAGAGTAACAGACAACATTACATTAATAGAGGGGAAGCACAAAACCACACAAAGCAAGGGTGTAAAAATTCACTGCGGGGATTAACAGGGAATTGCTCACAATAAGGTTGGAGTTGCTAAATATCCATTTAAAACTTGAGTAGAAAGTCTGACGGTCTCTGGCATCAGAAAAGGCCCTTAACATCTTTATCGTTTTATAGCTTTTGCAGAGCACTTTAAAGAGATTACAGGAAACAAGGTCTTCTGCCAGTTTACTATCTAAATTATAAAACAGGACAAAGACAAAGAACATGCATAAATAAAGGCAAGTCAAGAGTTGCCATAAAACCCGTGTGTTGCATCTGGGAGAGAGGAGATAAAGCAGACTGCCCAGGAGCATCTCCACAGGTGCAAACAAAAGGGACAGGAGGTATTTTAAGGAGCAAGAGAGAACGAGTGAAGATGTAAGTCACAGGCCAAAGGACTTCCAGGCATCCCGAACGGGAACCGCGTGGACCACCACTGATTTTAAGGTATTCTTTCTCCCTTCCAACACTCATTCAGTGACAGCGACGACCTGCAGTATTTCTGTTCAAAGCCAATACACTGAAACATGGAGGAGGAGATAAAGGGGAGGAATAAATCTCCTTTCCTTTGAGCTTAGTTCAGTGACTGTGCAACCAGTGAGGAAGCACACAGCCCTGACAGTTGCTTTATAACGAAGTGCCTGTTCCAAAGGGCTGCAAGAAAGTGAGTAAGCAAAAAGCGGGTATGAGAATGGGATAGCCCTCATCCGTTTGCCTAAAAGGGGAACCCGCCTGGTGCACCTCTGCCATGTTTGGGCACTCTGAAATGCAGAGCTCTGGCGCTGGGATTTGCAGAACCGCACTGGTTATCGGTAAGCAGCAGAGTTCAGCTGAGGGGTGGCCAGGAAGCCCGTGTCCTCTCACCCGCTCTCCCCATGCCCCTGCAGACTGCTCTTCCAGCAAAGCGAGATGCGCTGACTTCATTCCAGCTCCCCCAGGCCCAAGATGCTGGCAAACCACTATTAATTGATGCTGTTTATAAATCCATACAGTCAAACCTCTTCCTCGAGCTACCTGTCCCCATGGAAATGACCCTAAACTTCGCAGTTCAGCTCTTCCTGCAGCCAGAGACGCTCACGTCTCACCCAGAGCCAGCGACCGAGGCCAGACACAGCCACACGACCGTCACCTCCACACTGTGACAGTACTGTCCCAGAGGGAAGGAGCAAAGAGAAGGAAAGCTGATCAACAGGGACACCCAGAAAAATAAAAAAAGGGGGGGAGGGGGGCGGGGACATGCCTTTCCCTGCTCTTGCCATGGGGCTGTCCGAATTTAATGCTGAGGAGCCCCATAAGACACAGGGCACTGCAAACACAAAAAAAGCACAAGTAAAGAGAAAAATAATTACCTAAAGACCTGGAGAATGCCTGAAGACTTTAGATAAACAAGCAATAAAATGACAGGAAAATCTATTGATTGCACAGCAAACAAAAGAAGAGACTTTTTTGGGATACCCCCACGCAAGGCCAGACAGTTCCACATCATCAACTCGTTAACTTCAGTAATAAATAAGGGTGCAGATAATCTGGGTTTTGCTGTATTATGATTATAAATAAGGTTCCTATATCGGTTTAATTCTGCAAATCGCTTTAGGATTAGGGCTGGTGGCCGGGACAAATCTCCCCGTAGATGCCACAACAATAGGTTTTGGTACCTTGCTATATTATGATGGGAGAAAGCAAGGAAAGAGATGCTGTGCGTGATGGGCAAAACAAATCCACAGGGGGATTGCTCCGGGGAGAGGATTTCACGCACGAAGGCGCTCCTTCTCGGGAGGGTTTGAGTGCGGAACACCCCACCCCCCCACCCCCCCCGGGAAAGCTGGTGGTGTGTTTCATACTCACATCTCCCTTGTGCAACTCAGGCGCCGTGATCCGCACCGGCTCTGTCCTCTTCTTTGGCTTGGGGAGGCTCAAATCCACCCCAGCCCCGGGCCGAGCTGCAGAAGCCGAGA